ATTCAAACAAGGTAATGGAATTAGGACAAGTACTGCTCCAACTGCTATCAGAATCTCTTGGTCTTGACCCTAATTATTTGAGAGACATTGGCTGTGCAAAGGGTCTTTGTATGGTTGGCCAATACTACCCAGCATGCCCTGAACCAGACCTCACATTGGGCATAAGTAGCCATACTGATAGTGGCTTCCTGACTGTGCTTTTACAAGATCAACTTGGTGGATTACAGGTCCTCTATCAAAATCAGTGGATAGAGGTTACCCCTATTCATGGAGCTCTTATCGTAAATTTGGCTGACTTAATTCAGGCAAGTTTGTCATGTCTACCTATCACTACTGTTGATTTGGTCTAACTTTGTAACGTCATTTATTTTTGTCAAAGCATTCAAAACAGCTCAAAACAACGTCGTTTGTATCATAGGACTCTTGAACGACATCTACCTAATAATGTTGCTTTGTCTAATTCATCTTTAGTTTGTTACGTTTTGCAGCTGATTACCAATGATAGGTTTATAAGCGTTCATCACAGAGTTCTTGCAAAAGCTGTAGGTCCAAGAATTTCAATGGCATGTTTCTTCAGAAGACGACTCCCAACAGAAAGTCCCCTGTCTATGGACCAATTAAGGAGCTGTTATCAAAGGAAAATCCTCCAATTTATCGTGAAACAACTTTAAAAGACTTCGTGTTACACTACTACTCTAAAGGGCTCAACGGTGTTTCTGCACTTGAACATTTCAAACTCTGAATTACATGCATCCGGATGCAATGTTATGTTTTACCTTCAGTTAGGCTAGTAATTTGAAGCACTATTTTGTTATGTAATTTAAATATGTGAACTTAATGTGAAGGGATATTGATAAGTTTGGAATTTCATAAATATTAATGTGAAATTTTTACCTAATACCATTGGTATTTGAGAAAGTATATCAAATAGGATAGGGTGTATATTGTAATAAGAAATAGGTTCCATATTTAACTATATTCTTACTGCCTATTCTTAATTTTAAATAAAACTCACATGGCTTTCAAACAAGGAAAAAAAAAATCAAATGAAATAGGAAATTTCATTTGTTATATGAATAGTAACATCTTGAAAATATAATAATTTGAAATTTATTTTAGTTAATTATGATTGGATGTTTTAATACTTCATATTCTAGTTATCTTTATTTTAATTGTTATTTTTTTAATTATTTTTAATTAAAAATTATTTTTTTAATTGTTCAAATAAGTTTAAAATTAATTATTTTTAGGACATAATTAATTAATAATTCTTGTAGCTTTGACATTTTATTTATCATTATATTATTAAGAATGACTAATACACTTATCATTATATTACTAAGAGTGACTAATGCATTTACTAATGAATTTTAGCACATAGATGTGTACTACTCATGGACCCCAAAAGACATTTACAATTTAAGAATCAACCATACTGAAACCCCACCTGATGTAGCAAGTTTTGGAGACTTTTTTTTTTTATTTTTTAACAGTTGCAAATTTGGAGATAAAGAATTTAAACCTAACTCTTAAGGCTAAGGGTGCATCTTTCTTTAATACATAGCCAATTGGCCTAAAAGGCCAGGAGCAAGTCTTCGAGACTAAGTGCCTGTTTGGTGTGGATTGTGGGAAGAGCTTTTTGACTCTAAAAGCACAAGCCACACCAAATGAGGTAGCTTCCTAATGTGGCTGCAGCTTTTGAGAAGCTCAGCCTCTCACTTTTTCTTTGCAAAGGTTGGAAGCTCAAAATTCTTACTTCCGCGGTAGCTTCGGGCTTTTGAATTAATGAAATTGACATGATATCCCCATTTTATC